TCTTACTCATCCAAACAATATGAAATGATATTTTTACTTTTCTTTGCAATATTTAGATGCTTAAAAGTTTACTTGCCATGAAAATTTCAATGAGCTTGATCATATTCAACAAAACTTTGACATCAGTATAGCTAAGTTTGTTAACATATCTTTGGGGTGAGCTGGGGGGAATGTGGCCCTGAAGTCAGGGCCTGAATCTGCCACTGATAACGCCAGACCAGCCTTCACTTCTGTGCTCTGTACTGTTTTTGACTCAGTTAAAAATTTTATACGGAAATTCCTGGGTATGAATTTAACTTTGCCAAATTTTAATCTCGGACACAAATTCAGCAGGTTAAGAATTAAGAAAGTTCAGTAATTTACATCAATATCAGTGCCTCTGTTTTATAACAAAGAAAACTACTTTCTTTGAATAACTTAAATATGCTAATTATTATTAATGTTAATAGCATTGTTATTAGCTGTTCCCCTTTTTGTGGAATAGAGAGAACATTGTTGTTTTTGTAATCTAAGGGTTTCTGGTTAGATTCTTGGAGTGAGGTGAGATTTCTCCATTAGGCTGAGATATGACAAAAAAGTGTGTTAAATGTGTGGTAAAAAAAACAACAAAAACAAACAAATAAATAAAACAAAAGATGGCAACATTTCTAATTAGTAGTAGTACTGTAGTACTCTGTACCCAACATCATTTTTTCATATATTGTGTTATATTATCACAACTCTCCATCAAAAACACTAAAAATTTTAATTATTTAATTTTATTACGAGGCACAATTTCATCCATCTGTTCACTGATGCATCCCTTTTTGTTAGTTATCAAACACTCAGTCAACATTAAAGTGACATTATGCTGGTATCAGTGGACAGGTAAAAATAAAGATCCATAGCTTGAAATAATTTCAATATGAAAAAATTATCAATAATCCACATGGCCAGTATTGGTTTTACATGTACTCAAAATGAATAGGACAGTCTTTTTATAATTAAGACAAATTTCATACTGTATCATGCACATTTTTCAATATTAGTTATTGGTCAGTCACCATTATTATAGTCAATCTTTTGAAAAAAAAAGAATGAGCTTCATGTCACTTTAACAGTTATCTAGTATGATAGCAACACAACACAAGCAAACAACATTTACAGTTATCTAGAATACTTACAAAACACCCATGAACTTAACATTTATATTTATTTAGTATGATAACAACACATCATTTCCATTAATACACTAAATAAACAAAATTAACAATTATCTAGTGCATGAAGAACACAACATTTACAGTTATTAAGTATGATAAAAACACACCCAAGCATAAAACATATACAGTTATCATGTACATGAACAACACAACCTAAGAACACAACATTAACAATTATTAAATACACTAACAACACAACCCAATAACACAATATTTATAGTTATTAAGTACACTTACAACACAACCCAAGCACACAACATTTACAGTGAAGTACACTAACAACACAACCCAATAACACAACATTTAAAGTTATTAAGTACACTAATAACACAACCCAATCTCACAACATTTACAGTTATTAAGTACACTAACAACACAACCCAATAACACAACATTTACAGTTATTAAGTACACAAACAACACAACCCAATAACACAACATTTAGTTATTTAGTATTACAACAACACTACTGTGACACACAACATTTACAGTTATCTAGAATACTTACAACACACCCATCATTTACATTTATTTAGTATGATAACAACACATCATTTACATTTATACACTTACAACACACACAAGCACACAACATTTACAGTTATTTTGTGCATGAACAACACAACGCAAGAACACAACATGTACAGTTTTTTAAGTATGATAACAACACACCCAAGCACACAACATTTACAGTTATCTAGTACATGAACGACACAATCAAGCATACAGCATTTACAGTTATCCAGTACATTAGCAACACAACCCAAGAACACAACATTTACAGTTATCCAGTACACTACCAACACACCCAAGCACACAACATTATGATTATTTCACACCCTTGTACTCAACATAATTGTTTTTTCAAGTATAATTTCATCATAAATTGTACAATAAATTAAGACAGCATATAATAAGATGTAGGATGGATATAGAAATAGTTACATATAGTGTCCAGTTGGTAACCTGCTGCACTGGGACATTTATTATCAAATGTACAATTAAGATGACCAAAGGGTGCACTGACAGGATATAAAAATGTACTTAGTTGTCATTTGCCATGCTATTTACGGAATACTTTAGGTAAATAAACAACATCATTAATTTGTAATTAATGTGCAAAGTGACCATGTCCAAATGTCCTCTGCTTAAATGAGGTGTCTGGTACAAAAATACACTGACCCTATATTGTACATGTAATTTATCCTAAAATGAACATCCATAATATAATACAGTATTGGGTTTGATGCAAAACATTTGTAACTCATATTGCATAATGAAGAAGTTACATCGTTTTACACAGATTCATCATATTATAGAATATTCACAACTACTTTATTGTTTGATTTGTGACAGAAATTTTTGAAACTTCATTGAATAGATTGTGCCTTATTGTTTTGCTTTTTTAAGTTGTTATTTTGATTCCTGAATAAAAAAGAATTGCATGAAATATAAATGCCTGTCAATCAAACATGAGAGAACATTGTAGAAAGGGGGAAGAAAAATGTCAATCAAAAAAGTATGTAATCAGTCAGACATAAGTGCTTACATTGGACCATTTTATTGGTTTCAGTTTTAAACAAATTAAATGGACAACTAAATGAAACCTACAATGTGCGTCCATCTAGTAAAAAATATTTTCTTTTTTGTTAAAGGAAGACATTGCAAAATCTCCCTAAATTCTCAATAAAGAGTGACGTCTAACAAATTCTACAATTAAGAAGAATTTCATAAAGGATGTATGACTTATAATCAATATTAATTATAAGAAATGAGAATTTTTGACAGATTTAATTAGATTGCTTGGAGGAAAAAAACATAAAAAAACAATGTGTACAGTTTATTTCTAGAATATTTCGTTTTGTTTTGTAACCATAATTGGCAGGGAAGATCAATTTTGCAAATTGTGATTCATTACAAACAGATTTGTGAAATTAAATTGATTAAAAAAAGGTCTTGTTTTTTTGGAGTGTTAAAAATTGTTATTAATTTCTTTTTTCTTGTCTTCTTTTTTTTTTAAGAAATATGGTCTTTATACCTCTATAGTTATGTTATTGTTTTGTTGTTTCTTGATTGTTGTGCAGGGGGTTGGGTAATATTATGCATGCCAGGGTTTAATCAAGAACACATCTTCTAAATTAATTTTCTTTAGTTTTATAATTGGCTTTATGAAACATGTGTCCATCAGAATGGTTCCATCAGCTGTAAAACAGTGGGATATTTGTAACAGTTCTTATGATGTGAATTTTTTTTTCTATTTTCTATAAAGCTTTAATGTTCAAAGAACATTTCCCCAATTTCTGAAATAATTATTACGAAAAAATACTAATAAAATCTTCATAGTCATATTGATTTTTTTGTTGTTTATTGTTGTTTGATTTTTTTTCCCTGCAAAGCTCAAAAGAAATAAAACTGTTTAAGATAATTAATATAACCATATATATATGTATATGATTATATTTAGTATATATATAACAAATACTGGTATTTTACATCATGTAGCAGAGCATTCTGTTGTTGTTGTTTTTTGCAAATATGCATTTTGCATTTTAAAATCAATATCAAGATGTAACAGTTTTGAAAATCAGTATCAAGTTTTTGATTACAAAAGTTTCTGCATCAGTTGCAAATATAGGGAAAGTTGGAAAGGAAATTACATTTGTCAATTAACCTGCTTGATTTAAACAAGTCCAAGATAAAGTGAACTCAAAAAGATGTGACATTCTTGACAAAGTTTAAGATTTGAAATGATAACCATTTGTATTCTGTAAGCTGAATGTCTGCAACACCTGGTCTTTCTGTTTCACAATCAAATGACACAGTTTCTCCAAAAGAAATTAGTATAAGGAACATTTTATATTGCCTGTTTCTATTTCTTTTGATTTATTCAGCATTTATGGATCTTTTTGTGTAACATTGTCTTTTAGTTGTTGTGAATTATTTTCATGCAAAAACAAAAATATATTAGAATAAAATAAGTATTATAAAAAAAAGGAACAGTTTTATCAAAAGAAGGGCCAACTTTTTGATGTGGATCTAACAGTGAAACATGTTTTTAATCAATGATACATGTATAATTTGTATGTGTGTAATCATTATGTTTTGTTTGTTTGCTTTTTTTGTAAAAGAAGTCCCCATCTTTTATTGTCCATGATAAGGCTCTCAAGGGCACATCACAGAGGTTTTTGAAATGGCAGGATTGGAAATAATTTTTTTCGTGAAAAAAAGTGATCAATAACGTTTGTTCAAAATTTCATATCATTCACACATGCAGTTTTTCCAGAATGAATATTTATTCTTATTGTGAAAAATGACCAAATGCAATGCTTTTCACTCAAATTGAGCTTAGAATAGCACGAAATACAATTTGAAATTTATTTCTGATTATATTTCTTATTATCTTTCGCATATCTTTCTGTTTGAAATTGTCCCAGTTGATCAATGTAAGAATCTTTAAAGACTTTTTGATCTCAATGGATTTAACAAGTAAACAAAGACATATAGTGGAATTTTGAATAGACCCTAAGGCCTTATTTTAGGCCATGAAAAGACAATATTAATCATAGAAATAATGCCAATCAGATGTTTATATTCTTATAGAATTTACTTCCATATTGCATAATTCTTAATTATTGATCACTAAAAACATAATAGTATTCTGATAGAGTGATCTGTACAAAAATGAAGAAAGGTAACTCTATTTAGTTTAAGTAACTTTGTATAACTGAGTTGTCTTCCTTTGATGTATTGATATCTTTACATTGTTACTAACAATCATGTCTTTCTATATATTTTCAGGAACGATATCACGGGTGTTTAGTGCGCAAGTTGGCGTGCAGACTGTACAATATTTTATATATATATATACCTCATTCATCATGGATTTAACTGGGAAAGGTTTTTCCCCGGCTCATAGTTTTCTCCAGAATGCAAGTAGTCTCGTATCCGCCTATGGTCTTGGACCCTCATTGGTCGCAGGTCAGACACCACTGACTACTTCTATGTTTGCCGGAACCAGTCATGGGCTTACCAGCCCAGTTTACTCAGGGAGCTTGTCTACGTCTCTTTCCCCATCTCATACCTCATTTAGTAATGGTCACCATATATCTCTCCATCGTCATGCTGAAAAACAAGACGGGTCATCAAAATCTCAAATTTACGCAAGCCCAGCCCCAGTCTTTAATCGACACAAAGATTCATTTCCGTATGGCATAAGTGGTGTCCCAATGCCGAATTACAATTACCATGGCGATGTTTATCAGTTCACCTCAAATGGATACCCTCGTAAATCTCGAACTTGCAGCTATTGTGGAAAAGTGTTCACTCGATCAACAACACGACGTTATCATGAGAAAAGATGTCCACTTCTTAGGGCTGCAGTTTCGAGCTACATGGGTGATGAAAACTCAGGAACGGCGACAGCTCCAGTATCATCTACACCAACTCGGGGAAGGTCAGCGGAGTTAACTACACATTCTTTTAAAGGTCCGGGACAGTCACTTGGATCCTCCATTTCAGGGATAAATCTTTCTAGTGAGCCTCAGGAATTAGCTACCTCAATGTTGACAAAGTCTCCAGCTGGTGAAAGGCGGACCAGTGGGGATTCATATTTAAGCGGGTATCAGACTAGTGTTATTGTTAAACAGGAACCTCATGAGCTTGAAGCTTTGGCAAGTATGGCCTCAGGGGCTTCAGCCTCATCATTAAACAAAAAACAGTTAGTGCAGTCTCAGGAGATGTCAGATAATATGTTACGTTTTTCCCCTGGGTCTGAGGACTCAGACTATAGACTTGACACAAGTGCTAATGTTTCACCAGGATATGAACCTGGTTTAGATTTAACTGTATCGAAATCACCATCCCATACCTCAAGTGGTGGTGAAAATGTTCATAAATCAAGTGATGATTATATACGCGGACAATACGGGAATAAGACAGATGACAGGAATGATGTCAGTCAAGACTGTGGAGTGATGCCACCACATCTTGCACCTTTGCATAGGAAAAGATTTAATTCTGATTTGAGAAAAGTTAGTCAAGAAGGCGAGAATGAAATGGAAGATACGGAGAATGCGGGTAGGAATAATGATATGTTTGATAGTAATGGAGATCTGCTGAACAAGCGAAGAAGAAGTGTTATAGAAGCTGATGCTGGTGAAACAGAATCTGTGACTTCTGACAAAAGGGATGGGAAATCATATGGCAGTCACAAATGTGGAATCTGTGGCAAGACATTTGAGAATGCTGGTAAACTTCATCTGCACGAGCAACTCCATACCAAGTTCAAACCATATGCATGTAAATTTTGCGGACAGAAATTTGCAAAGGCGGCACAGCGAATTGAGCATGAAAAAACGCACAACGGTATGGAAGTTACACATATTTGCGCTGTATGTGGGTCATCCTTTACCAGAAAATATAGTCTCAAACTTCACATGAGACGTTGGCATCAAGAAGGTCCATGGCTGTGCCGTCATTGTGGAAAAGCTTCTTTGACACAAATGGAATTGAAGACGCACCTTTATTCGCATAATCTTCCAAAATTGGAGAGAGAGTCGCTTCTCTACATGCCCGATATACCTCACAATTACTCGGCAACTTCAGCTAATTCTGAAGAAACTGAAGGGAAGGATTACAGTATGAAAGAGGCATCTGAAAATGATAATGCATCTGGTCAGGAGGTTAGCCTTCAAAGTATGCAAGAAATGGAAATGTGCCAAGAATGTGGTCGAGATTTCCCGAAAGGTTATCTTCGGTACCACTTAAAGTCACATGAAGCACAGAAACCATATTCTTGCCCCATCTGTGCAAAGCGATTTGGCTACAAGAATAACATGAAGTCACACATTAAACTTCATACGGGTATCAAACCTTTTCAGTGTAAGATATGTGGAGCCAAATTTACACGTGGTTCAACACTCCGCAGACATGCTCGTCGTCATGGAATCATTGCTGATTCAGTGTGGGATTTGTTTGTAAAACCGAACTATAGTAAAAGTGGCGAGAATCAATCTCGCACAAATAAACTGAATACCCTATCTACCTCAAGAATGGACTCTAATGTAAGTACAGGCAATCAATCTTCCACAGGCTCCGGAGCTGCGGACAGTGGAGAATCAAACTACCTCGTTACAACTATGTCATCTACGCCCACACATGGAAGCCTTTACCCATTGTATGCTAGCCTTGGGCAGATGCCGCCTCATTTGAGTCTTTACTCAGGCCTGTCTGCTTCTACCTCTTACTTAGCACCACAATTACCTCATTCTTCCATATACGCAGCCTCTAGTCAGCAGCGGCATCCCCAGCAGCTTGATGCTCTAAATCTCAGTGTGAACAAAGCCTCTAATGACCTCCAAAGCGACCAGTCGAGCTTTTCTAATGTGTCTGCAGAAAGGTCCCGTTCAAGGTCAAGATCGCTAAGTGGATCAGAAACACGTCGTTATTTGATAGATGATATGAAAACGAATGTCAAGGATGTTGCTGTTCAAGTGCATACTTGCTGCACATCAGTCCCTAATATCAAACAGTCGAAGTCAGAAGAATCAGTTGGCACTCCAACAAAAACAGACGTCGCTGTTGCAGGGTCAAGTACATCCTCAGCAACTCCAACACCGCAGTTGCCAAACACTCCGTCACCTTTGGCTGTCGTTCCGTACATAGTTACCTCACCTTCCCAGAGACCATCAAACATTGATTCTACCTCACCCGCATTGTCCGTCTCATCCGGCAAGGATTACTCAATGGAAACAATCTCCTCACTTATTGGCTCGGGTCGGATGTTCAAGTGTTTCCATTGCGAATGCTATTTTGCCGAGTATGCAATGTACAGGATTCATTCGAAGCTACATGTTAGTGATACAACACATCCGTTTGTATGTATGGTCTGCGGGGAAGACTGTCACGATCGTGTATACTTCGCTCTTCATCTAGCTGAACACTTACGTTAACGAAAATTTTGTTTTAATGTGAAGCACCTAATTGGGTCAGAATGATACGGGTTAATGGAACATTTTTATGACTACAAATTTTATTGTATATATTATGATATAACTACTTTGTGCTTGTAACAGTGCTATATTACGTAGGAGGCGTATTCAACAGGGAAATAATCTACGTTCAGTAGCTCTTTTAAGAGTTAGTGGCGAAGATGTTTGGCTCAGTTTAGACTATTTACACATCATCTCACTAGTTGTATGAGATATATTTCTTTGTGTTGTTTTGTATGTATCTAATCAGGGTTTATAACAATTGTATGACGTAGAACTGTGTATTTAAGGTGTACAGAGCATGTATAAACTATCTGCCTATAAACAACTATAGAGATGGTTTATTTCTGCTTTACACCATTGATATATTTTCTTGATGTGTACATGTACATTTTATTGACAAAACAGTTGCCATATTAGTTTTTAGAATTTTTTGCTTGTAAATTTATATAGAGGTGTCATAATAAAATTTTATCTCATGTTTTTATGTATAATTGTACGTATGTATGAAGACTTGTACTGTGTGTAAACTATTGTTAATCTTGATTTGTATAACTTTTGTTTCTAATCTTCCACTTTTTGTCATCAACTTTTCTAGACCTGGAAAGGTGATCAAGTCTCAGTCAATCGTGGCATTTTATTGGCTTATTTCAAATTTTGTACTGACCAATAAAGCTGCTTCATGATTTTGTATTACCCATTTACTTGCCATCTACGTATTTTATTTAAAAAAAAACAACATTTTTTTTAAAAGAGTGAGCTTTTCATTTAAACTAATTTTTGTCTAAATTTAATATTTTTATCGGGTTTACAGATTTATTTAAGAGATATAGCAACTTTTAATAGGAAAATAGATATCTGTTTATTCTTATTGGAAAGAGATTATTCTTTATAAGAAATGCTAATGAAAACAAGTATTTTATGGATCCTTTTAAATTGTGCAAACATGTGGAAAATAGATCACATTTGTTTTTAATTCATCTTTTTTTTAATTCACACAAAACATGTTCTTTTTAATTTTTGTTATGAAGAGTAACTATTTGATTTTACAATGACGGAATGGTAATTCTATATAAGAATGCATGATGTGTAAATGCTTGAAATTTTGTTGTCATTCAGCATAATATGTTATAATGTATATGACTATTTTTGAGTTCTGTTTTAGTCTGATAATCAGATTATACATAAGTACCATTACATAATATCCTTTCCACTGATTGTGAGAAAAACCTAATTTCATTAAGGAATCCATATGATATACCTAACTCAACTTTAAGCAAAAAAAAAACAACCCCAAAAAACAAACTCAGTGATGTTTAACCATGACTAAACACTAACTTTAGTGTAATTTAATAGAGGAAAACAATACTGCTTTAAAACATTATTCCATAGTGATATAAAGATTCCTTAACTAAATTTGTTAATCTAAATGGTTTTAAATCAAGTCCACAGCTAAAGAAATATGATATCTGAAAAGAACTTTTTTTTTCATCCTTAACTTTAAGTACCTGCTTTTAAGTATATCAATACGTTTGAAATTACAAAGCTGTACTGGAAAAAAATATAAATGTACTTGAGCTTATTTTATTTTAACTCCTTGCCAGCTTGGGCAACTGAATATACCCATGAGGAAGTGCAGACCAAGATAAGCTGGTATGTCCGTCCGTCTTATCATGGTCTGCACTGTTCTGTATACATGTATTTACTCAGTACATATTTTGAACTTTGTTGTCCTAAAATGTGAATGGTTTTGTCAAGATTGAAAAATGGACAAGTTCATTAAAGATAAATTTAAAATGGTTATAACACAAACCAGTAAAACTAAACTAACTCTAAAGTTTAAAAAAACATTAATGACGTTCATAAAGAACATAAAAAATGTTTTTAAATGTGGATAACAATATACAGTTGCATTTGAGAAATGAAATTTAAAGAAATCTTATTAGGATTGTTTTGTACCAAGTTAAGTAGCAACATTTTGTGTCTGATCATCGATTCCTAGGAATACAAAAATGACATTATATTAATATCTCGTTCATTAAGCTCATGTAGTAGCTTAGAATTTTAAGGTTACTGTCTAAACAATATTGTAAATACCGTCATTTTTGTTTTCAACTTCCATAAAAAGCATTCATACATTCTTGCACTGCCATTTTGTTTGTTGTGAAATCAGTTTCATAAGTAATTCTTAAGTAAACGATAATACTTTGCATTTGAAACCATCCGTGTAAATTCTGAAAAGGTTCTGTATTTCATAGTAGTTTAATTTTGAATAGTAGGATGGTAAAAAGCAAAAATTGATTTCTGTCATAACACAAGATACCAAACTGAACAATGTAGTAATATAGCGCTTTTATTATTTATAACATTTTTTGAAATTTACATTATACTAATTTGCTGAAGAGTTATTTAAAATTAAAATTCATCTTAGAAAATTAAAGTACTTAACATAGGAAATAATGTAAAGAAATTTAAGATAAAAATATCTGTAAACTACAGTTATAATGAAGCTCTATCTAAGGATTCTACAAGCAAATCAATTTTGGTGTTTGTATATGAAAGACTGAAGGTTTTATTTTTCAAGTTAATAAAACCTACTCAAGCACAGTATAGTTAGGAACAAACAATAAATTTTGCAATGTCATTAGGTTTCGTATCTGGAGGAACATTTTGCTTCAGTTGGGAGTTCAAAACATTTCACCATTGGCAGCTATTTCTGCAAACAAATCAGGTTTTCAACTTTTGTATTACAAATATCTTGTATTATCATTTTTTGTCGGGAGAACCTCATTTGCACAATCCAGAACACATCTAAAAATAGTGTACACATCTATAAATAGCTTTGATTTGTCAAGGTCTATTGCACAAGGTGCAATGCGATTATTTATATTTTGAATATTAATTGATAATGAATTTTTTTTCATCATCTTTCTACCTCAAACAATAAATATTGTCATGTTGAAAGTCGTATATTATAGATATTATATAAATATATGTTATATATTTTGTCATTATGATAGCCTATAGCGGATGTTAATCATTTGTTTTTGTCCCTTTAAAACTTTTCAGTGTTTGGGTTTTTTATTAATACTTAAAAATAAGATGTTATATATTTTGTTGGTATCTCTATGTCTTGTGTATAACATTGGCACTATCAGTTTATTTGCACCCGAATTATTCATCTCTTATAACCACTTTTAAGGAAATGAGATTGCGGTAAAAATGTTTTTAATCAATACATGTAATAGAACAGCAAAACTAGAACTATGTTGTGCAAACTATGAAAAGCATGATTTTTCCTGGTGTTAATTTTTTTTAATAAGGCGCAGATTTGATATAAAACTGATTTGTTTTTATGTTGAAAAAAGAGAAATAAGTTAAGATTTTATTAGAATTTAACTGCATGCCTATCCAAAGAGTGGACTATCCATTTTTCCAGTGAAGTGATACCTATAACAAAACCAAAAATGGAATGTCTTAAAAAGATAAAGAGGAAACATTTTGAGTTTGATATTTTATTTGCTATTACTCATAAATTTCATTTTCATCCTGATTAAAGGGGACGGAGGAGGGGTAAGAAAATAAGGCTGTTTCATTTCAAATTAATTTTATTTTTAGTTTCTCAGGGATTTTTCTGAAACTCAGCTCAATGGTTATAATACATTCTTTTTTTGTTGCAAAAGCAAGACATTGTTAAAATCTGTATCTTTAAAATCACTTCGTATTTTAAAATTTTGTCTTTTAAAATTTAGTCGTTTTATAACTGAAATAAAACTCTTTATTGTTTTGAACTGTACTTAAAAACTAAATTTTAATTATTTGTTTTTCTTTCTTTTTATTTTTGTCTCTATAACATTTGTTTGTATACTATTAATGAAGAAAGTATTTCATTCAAATCGGGTTTCTTTTATTATTATTATTAATACTATAACTATTATTATTATTATTATTTACTTGTTCATAAGTGTTCCTATCCCTCATTAGTCCAAGGTATGTTGTTGTTGTTGTTTTCTATATAAACTGGGAATGGTATGTCATTTTAACCCCCCCCAGACAATTACCTCAAAATAGCTTCAAAGATGGTTAGAATTGAAACATTGGTTTCGTTTTTCTGAACAATCTCATTTTTTTCCAACTTTTTTTCTGATTATTTAAAGTTGTACTTGATTATGTTAAGAAGCGTTTGTTTTATTCCATATTTGGTGTATTAAAAAGGCTTAGATATATACCTCAATTCAGAATGGAAAATAAACAAAATCCTTATATTGCATTCTATAGCAAGGTCTTCGTGTATCTACCTCATGCTTAATTAAATGAACAATACATTATGTAAGTGTAAGCAATACTGTATTCATCCAAATAAATATTAAATTTTATGTTTATCAGTAGTTTTAAGTACCATAGCTAAATTTTGGAATTAAGAGTAGCGGATCTTTTTGTATCGATATTTCGAGCAAAGTAGATTTTTGAATACTTTTGTTTATTTTTTATCCAAATTAAAAAAATGTGTATTACGATATTGTTTATTACCTATACCGGGTTTAATATCCATGACAATTATTTTTCATATTTGATAGTTTATCCAAATTATAAAGATGAAGGTCAATTTTCGGGATTATTTTACTCAACGTGGCAAATGTGCATCTTTTGCTTGTAGCTAACGACATAAGTCAAACACTTGCAGCTTCAACACTGTCTTTGATCACAGTCCTTGTCGCTTTGCCAGGACTGATAACTCTTAGGCATAAATTTCACTGAATTATTCCCCTTTGTGAGCACTTTTTTGTCCGTGACTTTTGGCTTTTGTTTCATTATCAGCTTTTCAAAAGAATGCTTTTGCAAAGTTATACACAAGAGTTTAACTCTGTTCATTTTGTTTATTTGGATAAATACAGTATTAAGATTCTATATTATTTGTTATGTAAGATGTAATCTGTGTAGTTAGTTAGGGAAAATCGGGATGATTTTGAATTTTTCTTAAATGTGGCAATGTATCCATGAATGTGAAAACTAGCATGATGAAATTTTTCTGTTTAATGGTTTTATTTAATGATATGATGGCGGTACTATTTCTTTCTCTTTTTTATGTATTTTGTTTGTTAAATTCTTATTCTGTCAAATTTGTTTTAGTGCTGTCAAACCATAGATCACCGCTTTAAAATTTGTCATACTTAAAGGCGTACTTAATTAAAGGCGTAGATGAACTGGATTACACGACTTGAGTTGTGAAACTTAATTAAGTGAAGATTTTAAAATTTACAATATCTGTCGCTATCCAATATTTTGACTAAATGGGTGAAAGTTTTCAGGATTATTCCTGAAGGTCAGTATTTTCAGTCTCTTAAAAGCCTTCTTTTTCCTATGTAAAACTGTAGAAAAACTGCTAAATTCAGGATTTTCAGGATTTTTAAAATGTTCCAACTTGATGTATGTTTTGACAGCTCTGAGATGAGACAACTGTTTTTTTCTAGTGCTGTGGAGAAGTACTGCCTAAAACAATATACTTATATTACAAAAAATGGCAATCCTAGATTGTCAATGGTTTTAAGTTTTAAAACAAATACTCTATCAATTTCTTAAAGCAGCATCTGTATTAAATACGCGTGAAATCTCCTTTTGCAATGCAGCCACATGCTTGGTCTTCTCCCTTTTTTTACCTTAAATGAATATATTTCATTGCATTGGTTCATTGCATAACTTCAAAAATAATCCAGTGGAAAGTTTTTAATTTTTATTGATGCTGTGCCAGGAGTGGGCTATTCTAATCGCACAAGATATCTTTAATCACCAAGAAAAGCTTTTATGAACACAAAATGAACACAGTATGAACGCATCTGTGGATTTTCCTAAAATCAAAATTTCACCATTGCCATGTTCTGGTTAAGCTGGTGTTATTGGCATTGGCGGTAACTGCTTTTTCCAGTACCGTCCAACAAACGGAGCCTGCAATATTTTCGATTTTGTCGTTTGATATTTTACTTTTACGTATATCCAAGGTATTGGTTTTAAAACTTTAAACTTAGGATTGTTCATATTTTTCTTCTTTTTTATCTCTTTTGTAAATGCCTTTAGAAGGCATCATCAAAAATGTCACGATGTAAAATTGTGCAGTTCCTTAAGGTAAGATGTGGGAATACTTTTAACTCATAATCTGCTTAACCTGCTTGATTGCTGCAATGGATTTGTCCATTTTCTAAATTTGGAATGGCCAATTCAAAAGAGTCCGGTATTTTGATTTACACATGTAAAATTAAAAAATGAGCTACCTACGGTATTTGAGCCTGGTCATACTGGATCGATACTGGTAGCATAGCTATGGATCAGTGCAAAACGGACATAACTCCTTCATTATGTAACCAGTTATTTACAGCTGTTTCGCACTAAACGCTCTAGGCTAGTCATTTTCTGTTACAGCAGACTAAGGGTTAAACTATCAGGCGTTTGTTTTTGACTTTTGTTATACTCGCCAAGGGGTTTGAAATCCTTTACAATAGGTCATGTGTGCCTAAATTAATAATGTGCTAAGTTAACTGTATGTGCTACTTTGAAATGTGCTAAATTGATAGACGTGCGTGATACCATGTGCTAAAATGGCTTTATGCATATAGATAAACATACTCAAGACCATAAACTTTTTGAATAAGTTCATTACATTAAGTATTAATTAAGGGACTGCACATTTGTTGACAGGGACATTTCAGTTCACAATCAGTAGATAAAGACATAAAATGTATGAAAGTGGTGATAAAATTATAAGTGTGAACTTTAAAGTGGCGATTTTTTATGACACGGTTAAGTTGTTTTCTCTAGCTAAAAGCTTTTGTAAATGTTTTTATATTTAAGAAATATAAGAAAAAATAAGGCGAACTTTTTAATTTATTGGTTGGCGTACACAATATTCAAGTACATTAGTTGGTAAAAAATATTCTAAACTGTTTTAGATTGTTGTATGATAACACAATATTTGGGGTATTTAAGTCTACATAAAAGGCGCTATGCATAATATCGTGGTACGAATTACACTTTATATTTGATCTTTTTTTTTAATAAACCTGTTGCTATAGGAATTTAAATTTTCTTTTGATATTATTTTGATATTGAATTCTTTTCAATTGAGAAACGAAGATATGTTTGTAAAATGTACATTAACTTTTGGAAGCAAAAGTTTCAATACAGTAATGATCTGGTGATTTTGACTTGAAGAAATAAACTGCAGAACAACAAGACTAAAGGCTTTATGATTTGAGTGCTATTTTGATTTGTTGCAATTTGAATAGGTGAAACTATATATAATCACAATAGAATTGCGGAAACTTCTATCGTCTATATATTGCATCTGAAAGTGCTTGTAAACTATAATTTCTCATGATGAAAAATATATACAAATCTTAACTGCATAAAATCTTTTTTCTCTTGTTTTTTATTATTATGTTTATTATTATTGCTATTTATCTACAGAAAGGAGAACTTTTCACATGCTACGCAGGGACTTTAAAATGTCATTTATGTAATGTATTGAAGATGGGATTCATCATTTTCATTTTTTTATTTGTTTTGTTACATATACCTGTGTCATATTGTGTTTAGAATTACACATTGTTTTGAATTACCTCATTTCTATCCCGGATATTCATCATTCGTGCAAATCGAAAATACAAAAAAAATGCAAATGCTCATTAGCTTGTTTATTTTAAAAGCACTTAAAACTTTCAGTTTTCAATAAAAATGTCTTAGTGTACTCAGTGTCCAAAAAATATATTGAATTTTGAATTGTTTTATAATATATTGATTGCATTGTTACGAAAGTCAGTAATCTAATCGGTTAAAATATGCTTGCATAAGTTAATTGATAACGATATTGCTTTTAGCAACATCTTGAAAAAGAACGATTTGCACGAGTTTTGGACCTGGTTTAGAATCATCATGTACTTTATAGAAGCACATGTTTTATGTTATATTTGTCCCAGAATGGGGTTTAGGTTATCACAATGTAAACATTTAATGTATTGTTTCACAGTACATGACACACCTTTTCTTTTATAATCTCACAGTTTTCTTTATATATCCTATGATATTTGTTCTATACTTACGTTAGAGACAGATCTTGCACCTTTCTTCTTCTACAAAATCTTCTGGCAATCTGGTAAAAAGAGAAGATATCATTTGGTATGAAATTTTTATTATTTACGAGTATTTTTATGACAGAATGTTTTCTAAATGACGAATGTTTTGTACTCCGAATGATTTTTATCTCTGAAAATAAAAAGAAAGAATCTTTGTTGATTAATTTGGAAAGATACGGTACTTTTAACAAATTTTACACAAAAAGAAATCTTTTTTTGTCCTGTTCTAGACACTTTTTATCTGTCATATTAAAAACATAGATATGGAAATTAAGGGAGAAATATATATCCATTGATGTTTTAAAATGTTTCTATTGTTAATGGAGTTTATTATAAGCATAATATTTTTTAATCTTTTCGTGATACTGTAAAATAAGTTCACTGTAAATGAATTTTGCTACAAATAGATCATACTGTAGATTAAAAAATGCTTTATTAGAAAAAACAATGCTATATTTTTCAGATATTTGTCTGAGGTTCCGGGTTTTTATACCTCATAAAGCATTCTTTTCTTATGTACATATACATGATTAAAAATGCTTACTTCAGGGTTCCCGACATTTTGTCTATGAAAATAAACCAATGAAAATTGAGTGAGACATTTAATTAGGAACATCTATAGGAACATTTTTAATATTTAGAGGCTTCAGAAGAAGGAAGGTGTTTGGTCAAGTTCTTAAAATTGTCAAAGTCTTCTTGACTGGGAAGGCAAACAAGTGTTTACCACTGTTATCTGTTGATGATTATTTACCCGTGATGGTTTTTCTTTCTGTAAAGTGAAATGTTACAAACTGAACAAAAAAAAGCATAAGTGTTTTCAAAAGCTGCATCAACAGACAATGGTAAACAATTTCTTGTTTATAGAACTATTTAAGACATTATCTTTATTTTCTTTAATTTTTTCTTCTGAACAATAGACAATATAATTTTTTAAGAACACTTAACCAAAACTTTGAAGAAACCAGCATTTGATGTTTAATGATGGAAAAATGATATTTTTATCCAAGGAAAATAATGAATATGATTATAATTTTGATTAAAAATCCTGAAAATGAGAGAGGAAAATAATTTGAATATAGAAACATCATAGTACACAACCAAGCATTCAGATCAAATTATGTAACAGGTTGCTATATATTAACATTTCTGTTTAGTTACCGTATATTCAACCATTCACTAATTGTTTGTCAATTACCAGTCTAAGTTTGTCTTTGTTTTCCTCATAAAATTCGTTCAGGATAAGTAGTAAATTTCTTTTACGATGTTTAATTTCTTTATATTATATATATACACAGTATCTATGTTACCTCAGTCTTGTATTTTGATGATTTCTTTCGTTTTTACAATTAAAAAATACCTCATTCATGAAGCTTTTCTGCTGTCAAACGTATGTACTAAAGTAATCAGTTAGTATATACATGTAGTAATCTATTGTCATCAACTTCTCATAACTATGTTTAATAAAAACTTCATATTAGAATTCCTTGTTTGTTTTCAAGAACCGTGTTTGTTCATCAGTAAGAACAAGTGCCACCCTTAACAGACCATTCCAGTGTTTATAGTTCTTTGCAAATTGGTTAATTGGCTGTCCAATTGCTACACACGTATAATACATAGTCAATGGTTCATCTGTACGAAACAAACAAAACACTCGTGGTTTTGTTTGTAATACTGATTGTGTGCAGTTGAAATAGCAATAAATACAATGACGTTTCAAACTTAAAAGGATTTATCCAGATGTGCCCGTACTGCTGGCAGAAGTCTGTTGGAATTGCTAAAGCGTCCGAATTGCATCTCACCGATATGTGTTTGTCTGATTTCCAAACGCGATAGAGTATTTCTCAACCAGAAAATTTCCGCTCCGCTGAGTTTTTTGCATGATTATTTAAATCGGATTATGTTTGCATTACTTTAAAGAAAATTGAAACTACATTTTAAATGTGGTTCTTCTCGGGGTTTCTCCTCGTGTCTGAGTTAGTCCATGTAGGAACATTCTCAAGAAAAGTTGGAAAGTTACCATATGACCTTTACTGTGTCGACACGCACTTGTTAACAATTTTGGTAAGAAAAGGAAATGGCATTTGCCATTTCTTGATATTGTTTCTTAAAATAAGGGTAATATAAGCATACATTTTTAGCGAGTAACAATATCATTTGTTGCTGAAATATACTTCAACGAAATGCTAAATGGTCACATCTTAAAAAAAAGTTGTCGGAGAAAAATATAAAGGACAAAATAATAATTTAATATTTGCTCATATGTAAAACAAAATTCCGTTACAAAAGCATAACAGAGTGGGTAAATATGATCACACTTTAAAGAAAATTTGAAAATGATACTATGCCATATTTGATTTTGTTCCAATACTTTATCAACTCGATGCGGCAATTACAGTAGCAAGGTACTTTGTCCTTTTTGGTCCACATATTATGTTCAGACATAAGTTTGAATGGCGGTCCATTTTTAATGACTTTGAAAAGATGATAAAATGCTTAAAGATAAGAGCAATAATTAGTAAGGTACCAATACCGAAACATGACTGCTTTGCTGAGGAAGGTCGATATTTTGACATTTTCTTTACTTTTAAAGGCATCGTAATATTTATGAAGTATAAAAGTCGTCTGCTCATCAGCAGTAATAATTCAATAAGGATTGGGAACAACTTATATGGTTTTACAACCAATTAAGCTGATGCCACAGTCAGAATTGCTGTAATATTTACCTGTTGACAAAACCATATTTAATGTCGTCTAAAGGAATTGAAATCCTGCAAGCCTTTTTAACGGTCTCGCGAATTATACGACAGTTTCATATTCTTTATAACAGATTTTGTTTTTTAGGCCGGAATGGTATTTCTGTCGTTTGTCTGTCTGTCCGTAAGTCACATTAATGTGCTAATTTTTGCGGAGTGCTGTCTTTGTAAGGAGCATGGTCAATCCCAGTAGATGCCCCTATTAATTTGACGTCATCAGATCAAGATTTATAACACACCCGTGCCGATTGGATTTAGCTCAATACAGGATTGGAGCAGTACCTCTAGACGCTTGCAGAAATAAAAAATGATCACAAAATAGACAAATATGATTTTTTTTCGCCGAATTTCACATTTTTCATTCCTTAAGTATCGTATATAAATCGGTGTGTAAAGATTAATTAGACGTTTTAAAACTCATTCCGTCAGGTAAAAGGCGAGGTTTTAGCATTTAGTGTGGTGCTCCAATCCTTTTTTTAGTCTCACTCGTGCCGATTTTGCGACTCCGTAAAAATGGTATTGCACGGCCGTGCATATATTTTGATGTGACGTCACTAGCGTTTTACAAACGGTGTAAAGACGCGCTAAATGTTTACGTTATGCTATAGGCGCGTCAACTACTTTCGGCATTTGCAAATAAGAACATCAGGGTCTGAAATTTCGCTACCATTATATGTTTGGTCTTACGACCCAAACAAATTAAAATGGTTTGTGCAAACAATTTTTTGTTTGTAAAAATTGTGAATACTGAAAGTGGCTCTTTTTATTAAATTTCATTTGATATAATACTTAGTATTAATATAATTTTTAAGATGAGATGATTGTGTTTCAAGAATAATGTCTGAAAAACCAGCCCACATAAAAAAGTCGTAAACAAATATATTGTCTATAACCTGGAATAGTTTATTTTATTCTCTTTTGTATTGGTTTTAGTTATATCTACAAGACCATACAGTCGTTGATAACAACCCACTGTTTGATTGATGTGTCTGTCTTGTCTTAAAACAGAAAATTTCCCCATATAGCTTGTGATGCATGTGTTTGAATTCCAACAAATAACCAATTGCTATTATTTGATGTCAACTGAACCCGCTGCGGCTTTCGGTAATTTTTTCCCGCGAAATATAGTGTTTCATTCTTAATTCAAGTGAAGGAAGCTTCAGAACAT